AATCTCCACATATGACTTTCGGTCAGACTTCTGTAGTAATTTTTCCCATAATTCCTTTGGTTTGGGAGATATTTAGCCTTGAATTTTCAAAAATTTTGACAAGGGTGCGTTTCAACAAGTGTCACGCCCAGGCCAATGCACCGACAGAGACAAAAAAACCAGGGTGTTCAAGTTGAGATTATATGTGACCTAAATCCAAGAGATGGGGACACAGGTCCTAGCGGTCTAGGAGGAGAAGCGGTAACGGTGACTTGTTTCCAGCGCCCGACTGCTGAGCCGCAGGAGCCGGCAGAGCCACAGGAGCTGTACGAGACGGGTCGGGACTAAAACCATGAGTGCCGCCAGCGTATACGCTGGTGGTACTAATAAATAAAGCAGAAGGTATCAGGACAATTCCCCTGAGACAATTCCTCCTAGTCAATGCCCCCCCCCCCCCCCACACCCCCTCAAGGACAGTTCCCCTCGGGACGATTACCAAATCCAGTTTATGTATATTTCTTAGTGTGATGACGTTACTTGAGGATAGAGAATATCTACATCATAAAAGCAATAATAACTCTTCCTTTAAGATTCAAAATTCCGCAAGAAATACATTCTAAACAACACATGGAAATATATTATATTGCATTTCACCACTAAAACGGCTGTTATTGTAGTAAAACTAAAAACTGTGCTTGTGAATAGGGCTTTCGGTGCCTTTCTTCCCAGTCGTCAAGGCATCCGTTGCCAAGGATGTTGGCGCATCACGCGGATTCTCGCGTGCATTCGAGACCAAAATAGCATGTGGCGGGATAAGATATAGCAGGCGCATGACACAATCCTCAGACGTAAGTTGCGAGTTTTTGTACAGTGTGTCGGATAAAGAAAAGCCCAGAACTGCACACGTTGTAGATATAAATGCATTCTGAGCAATAAGATGATTATATCGTATGAATCTTATTTTATTGTAATAAAGTGTTGTTGTCTGCTTTCCCCACGGTTTTAAGTAGGTCATCAGAAAACCCCGCTCGACTATGCTATGTCAGAGAGGGCTCCGTCAGATAAAATCCCTTAAGAGATTTTAACAAAAAACCAAGCGTTTAGGAAAAAAACCCTGAAAAAAAATTTGAATGCAGGAATGGGGTCGTTTACCATTGGTAAGTACGGGAAAATTGCCGTTTACACCAGAAAAATCCAATTTTTGGCCAAAACGAAGAGTTATTAAGACTTTAAACAATTTATCTTGATACAGTACAAGTACAGAAAATTGTATTAAAAATCTGATCATTGTATCTCTCCTGGTAAAGGTGGAGTAAACAGATGACCTCACTCATCCATACTTGCATACTTGCTTCATCACTCCCCCCATGATTAAGTTGCCCACCTTGGATCAAGGTGCACCTCTAGGTAGAGGTGGGGTAAACAGATTTTCTCACTTATCCAGGTATCCCTTTGATTATCTGTCACTTTTAATTGCCTGACCACTACCCATCTACAGACTGCCCACTATACTTAAATATTCATAAAACATGTTTACCTGTTCATGTTTTTACCCCACCTTTACCTGGAGGATATAGGTGGTTATACTTTGATTACATATCTAATAAAACTTTCAGTTCTTGTACTCAATAAAAAAGGAATTTATTAAAAAATAATTTGTTTAGTGATGGAGTTGCATTATCACACAAAAAGTATTAAACTTTACACTCTTTACTTTATATTCATAAATTAACATTTTCCTAGGGGGAATTGTCCTGTGAGGAAATTGTCTGCGGGAGGGGAGAATTCTGGGGGGAATGGTCCTAAAATCTTGGCATAATTGTTATCAGGATAATATACTCTTTTTGGCTAGAAGATTCTTAGACCCTGGTATCCCAAAGGGCCAGTAGGTTTGAAAGTGATAGCATATCAAATGTCAAATTACCTGGATAGTGGAAGTCACCACTGTCCTCACATCATCTATAGTTACAGCATGCACACACACTCTAACCCCAACAGCTAAATGTAAACATACCTGGACAGTGGAATTCACCACTGTCCTCACATCATCTATAGTTTCAGCATGCACACACTCCAGGGATTTCCATTACGACGTCCTCATATCTAAATATGCAATGAAATTCCACGGGACGCAAAATATGCAACTCTTCTGCGTCCCGGGGACGCAACTAATGAAAAGTAAGAAATCAAAAACATTGTTTCTCAACATAAAACCTGCATGCATACTAAAAGTTGGTCGCTATCTCCATAATACTATAAGCTTGCCATGTTTACAAGTCGCTTTAAATCGTTAACTGCCACTCATGAAAATGACGCATTATAAGTTAGGTCATTTGCATAGCTCCGCCCGTTTGAGCTCGATTTAGCAAATAATATGTATGCAATGAGTTGCGGTGGCACCAGCTACACGTGCGTGACTAGACAACGTGTGTTCAACACCCTCTACATTTGTTAGGATTTTTTTTTAAAATCATCGATAAATGCTTATAGTAAATTAGTAAATACATACAAATGGCTTAAAAGACATCAACTTTCATTCATACATATGTACCGTTACCGAATGAATAAGTTAAACCACTCTAGACAGCTGCATCATTTTGTGTGCGGCGACATAGGGAGAATCTAGTTGACGTTACTTTAAAAATTGATCGACACATATAGAGTTTATTTACCGACGTTATGTACAAAACAAAGTCAAAATCAATTTAAACTAAATTCCAAATCTTGATAATAAAATTTAGCCTGTCCATCAAGTGAAAACATACTCGTCCCACACCTTTAAATAGCCGCTCCCGTTCCGAGCCTTGTTCGGAGAAATTAAAAAGCATGGCGCAAGCGATGCTGAAATCAAGTCGAAAATAAGACGTTTACAACAAAGTTGGTTGCATGACACAGCGTTCAAGGCGTGGCTGTTTGTAGAAGGGGAACCTGGCAGGGAGAAAATGAAGTGTAGTGTATGTGTGCAAGGAAAGAAGAACAACATATTTACTTCGCCGCCAGGGAGCACCGACTACCAGTGCTCTTCACTCCTGAGGCACATGACCTCTCAGAGTCACAAAACAGCAGTAGAGGCCATAAAAGGTAGAGAGACATTTCAAAAGGCAATGAAAAACTGTGAAAAAACATGTGATGATGGCTTAACACATCAATTTAGAACAGTTTATTTTCTAGCATCTAAAAACCTAGCATTAAACTTATATGGTGACTTATGCACTCTACAGAATATGCATGGACATTACACGTCAGCGGGAACGGTATCAGAGATTAGTGCATGCATTGCCCAGAGCATTGATGACGATTTGACGTTGGCCATCAATAACAGCAGGTTCATAGGTATCATGGTAGATGAAAGCTGTGAAATAGCAATCTACAAAAAGCTGGTAATTTACCTTCAGACTAAAGTGAATGGTAAAGTTCAAACTTACTTTGCTGCCAATAAAAATGTTGAAAATGGACAGGCACATACAATTGTCGACGACATCCTTAGGGACAAAAACATTGCCATCAATCGTATTATGGGGCTAGGTAGTGACGGAGCGGCTGTTATGATGGGACGCGGGACAGGTGTAGGGGTTCAGCTAAAAACCCAGAACCCACCCCTAGTGCATGTCCATTCCTTGTCACATAAACTAGCCCTGGCTGTAGGCCAAGCTGCTGCTGATATCCCAGCCATTAACATGTACCAGGAAAGTACCAATTCTTTGTTTCTATACTTCAAGAACTCTGCTGTTCGTTACAACAGACTGAGAGCTGTATATGATATGCTAGATGATGATCAGTTTCTAACACTAAAGCAGCCGTTGGCAGTAAGATGGCTCTCTTTGGAGCAGGCAGTGGAAAGTGTCCTCAATTGCTGAACCAGTCTGATTGCTGCTTTAGAGGAAGATGCTGTGCAGAACCCAATGGCTAATGGCTTACTGAGGAAGGTCAACAACTATGTTTTCCTAGCAATATCCTGTTTCATGAAAGATATTCTGCCATTGTTTGGAAGGTAATAATACACTTCAACATGATTTTGGTTTTAGGCCCAATTTAGTAGAGAAGTTTGTTAAACTTTTTTCATTTTTAATTAATTGAATATAAATATTTATTCATCATTCTTTAAATTCAAAATATTATAAAATTTAAAAACGGTGATAAATTGTATATTATTCAGTTTCTTATATCTTTTAATTGTTATTCAGGTTGTCCAAATGCTTTCAATGTGAAAATCTGGACTTTGACACTGCCTCCCGATGTCTGGGCACAGTAAGGGGAACTCTGACTACATATAGGCAGGATGCTGATCTTCTTTTAGCTTTGTCACAGATGGAGACTGAAGTAAGAAACATAGGGCAATACAAAGGGCAGGATGTGAGCAAGACTTATCCCAAAGAACGTGCATTTAATGCAGCCAAAAGTAAGTTTTTTATGTCTCATTGTTTGATAATCAGGGTGTCTTTGTTCTTAGCTTTTTTCGTTTGCTATTTTCAATGATTAGGGTTATTTTTGGTCAGGCTTTTGTTTCAATAAGTATCTTAATACTTACCTTGATTAGAGAAATGCAAGCTAAGTTATTAATTTTTTTTTTCAGATGGATTCTCCGAAGAACTAGAAAACAATTTGGACAAAAGATTTCCTTTGGCAAGCATGACAACACTGAATGCCTTTGATGTCCTGTTAAATCCCAAGAGGTATACCCATATGCTGCTCAGGACATTAGACCTTATGGACAACAGGAACTTGACCACTTCCTTGCACAGTACGTACACCCAAGTTGTGGATGCAGACAGATGTTGGAGGGACTTCTTACCATTCAAGCACCACATACATGCTTACAGAGAGAGATTTGCCTTTGCCAGTTCCTGTGAGGATTTGATCCTTAACTATTCTGATTATTATCCAGATTATGTATACTGTTTGCACAAATAGCTCTAGTCATTCCACTGAATAGTGCATCATGTGAAAGGGGTTTTTCTGTGCAAAATTTGAACAAGACCAAAACAAGAAATAGGTTAGGTGAGGTGCAATTAGAGCATATAATGAAAATTACAATTAATGGGCCACATTTTGCACAGTTTGACTATACTCAAGCCAAAGCCCATTTTAGAGCCTTGAGGCAGAGTCGCCAATGACATTCATGCAATGCATAAGAGTTAGTGAAAACTCTGAAGACTTGAATAAAAACTTTTAAGACTTATATGTGTTGCTTATCTTTTATTACAAATATTTGAATTTTACATTTTCTAGGATTGTGACAAGTGGGACTCTAAATTTTCTCTGCGGACTCAGTTTTTCTGACTTCACTGAGGCCCAGGGACTCTACTTTTAAAAACATTATTGAGAACACTGCACTCTAACCCCAACGGCTAAATGTAAACATACCTGGACAGTGGAAGTCACCACTGTCCTCATACCATTGTCATTGACAGCATGCACACGGACCTCTCCCTGACTGTTTTCACTGGCTGGGGACACTGACAGGGCAGAGATGTGGATATAACCATCAGAACTGCTGCCTAACAGCATACCTGAGAGAAATAGGAACATTTATACACAAATATTGGTGGATAAGAACAGGTCAACCCTCAGTGTTGGTATATTAATATGAGCTTCAGGTCTGATACAGAAAAGCTTCTTCATCTCCATATGTGCGAAGTCTATGACTGGGTTCCCATACCTGGATCGATCTAACAGGATCAGTCCATCACCCAGGATCGGTCCATCAATTTCAGCTTAAGCAGCTTAGATGTCTGGCATGCCTACTAAAGGTGCTAAAAGATAATTAATTAGCTGGTTCAGTAGGTGTGACAGACATCTATGCCACTTTAGTTGATTCCAATTTAGCAAGAATCCTCTTGGGGATATAGATCGATCCAAAGTTAGTATGACAGGCTCTAGGAATGGTCTCTATCAGACTCAGACATTCAGCTAAAGATTGGTTGAGGTTTCCCAAGTTGATGTTATGCAGATCCTTTGATTCTCTTATAATGACTTGCCTATCAATTTGATCTACTGACATTTAAAAAAAAATGGTTCTGTTTTGTAATTTTAAGCTGGTGTATTCTGTTGTCTACATTTGCTTTAAACTATTCATCTACAAAATTCCAATAAGTTACCTGATTGATTCTTGGTAGCAGGATCTCCATCCCAAAAATGGTAGTTATAGTGGAGTTGACTAGTGCTGTCACTGAACCCAGAGCAATTCACTGAGAAATTGGTGACAATCTCAAAGCCAGTGGAAGGAGAAACTGTGCATATTCCTGGACTAGGGCTGGTCCCCATTTGTATGAAACATGATGTAGACAGCACTGTACCAGCAGACTGACTTGTACCTACAAACACATAAGACAAGATGTAGACAGCTCTGTACCAGCAGACTGACTTGTACCTACAAACACATAAGACATGATGTAGACAGCACTGTACCAGCAGACTGACTTGTACCTACAGGCACACATGACATGATGTAGACAGCACTGTACCAGCAGACTGACTTGTACCTACAGACACATAAGACAAGACGTAGACAGCACTGTACCAGCAGACTGACTTGTACCTACAGACACATATGACATGGTGTAGACAGCACTAATATTGTTGCATTCAATTGCAAAAAATGTGTCACATATTCACCAGCTTGTGCATATAGAAGAGCATAAACTGTTTTTCCAAAAGTTAAAGAACATTTGTGTTCTGAGACATTCTATAAACTACTAAATCCCAAAGCTTCGAGCTGCTAAATTGGCAAAGATTTTTATCCCATGGACCCTCAGAAACTTTAATTTACAAACTTTAAACTACTTAAATGAAACTGATTAATATGATCATTAAATAATTGAATTTTTGTAATTGAACTTTTTTGAAGAAACTGATTAATTTTACATACTGATTGAATTTAAACTATTTTAAAGTAGCAGCTTTGATTTAATATTTTAATCAGTGAATTCTTCTATAATTTTTTATATCATAACATGTTTCAGTTGTTTTTGCCTCATAAGTCACATGTAAAATCCAACTTTAAGTGGAAGAATAAATATAAGGATTGAATATAAAGTATGCCCAAAAGGCTAATACCAAGCTTAAAATTTGCACCTGTTCTCACACTACTTACCGTTAGTTGTGACCTGGTAGAGCTCCCCAGGTGCAAGAACACCTGGTTTAACACTCAGTCCTCTCTCTGTTCTATCAGTGGTGGTGTCCTGGCTCCAGTCCAGTCCCTGCACTGTGGTGTTCACTGGGTTGAGGTCCCATAGGTAGTCCATAGGGTCACAGTGATAACACACAGCCTCTAAGGACACCTTGGCTCCAGGGTCAGACAGCTTACACTGACCAGTACACCTAGGGAAACAACTGGACAATTAAGCATGGACACCTTGGCTCCAGGGACAGACAGCCTCTGTAACACTGACCAGTATACCTAAAGAAACAACAGGACAATTAAGTATGGACACCTTGGCTTTAGGGACAGGCAGCTAACACTGACCAGTTGATACCTAGAGAAACAACAGGACAATTAAGTATGGAAACACTGGCTCCAGGGTCAGACAGCTTACATGTCACCAGCATATCTAGAGCACAAACATTTAATGTATATTTTTAATTCTAAGTTATTATCATGTTGGTATAAGAATATAAGTTTACCTAGGAAAAACAAATGAACAATTGAATGAAGTAACTCATTCTTAACTTGTTAAAAATAAGCTATATTGTGTTGATTGAATATGCCAAGTTCTATATAAATGAGCAATCAGGAAACAAAATTACTTAGAAGTAAGCAGCCCACAATTTAAGAGCAGTATGGAAAAAAGACAACATAATGTTGTGAGTGGTTATAATATAATTCTGAGTCACCTCTGTGTTATGAAGAGTGCTGAGTCTTCAAAGATACCAACTTTATCTTTCACGCTGTCAGGGCAGAGACAGTAGGAGTGTTGATCTCTGACAATACACGCCCCTAGGCAGTTCATTGTGCTGCAATCTGTAACAATGTTAAACAGTAGCTTGTGTGGTCACAAGATTCAGCAGAAACTAGTGAATCACCCTTAGCAAAATGAAAAGTGTGCAGCACATAGGCTGCAAATGTACAACATATGTGCAGCACACTCTAGAGTGTGCAGTAGACAGCTTTGGGGAGTGTGCAGAAGTGTGCGATAAAAAATTCTTTCTTGTTGCACACCTACTGCACACTTCCATAAGTACAGACAGTGTGCAGAAAGTATGCAAGAGACTTAGTATTTCAATAGAAGCATGCAGAGAGTGTGCGATAACCTTAAAATTTGATCAAGAGTATGTAACAAGTGTGCAGAAAATGTAATTTTTCTGTCATAAGTGTGCAGAAAATGTGCAAGACACTTGGTTTTTCATCAGACGTGTGCAGAAAGCGTGCAATAAACTTACAATTTCATCAGGAGTGTGCAACAAGTGTACAGGAAAATTAGAAATTTTAAGTTGTGTGAGTTGAGTATACAGCAAGCTTTCAATTTTATTGGGGTATGCTATTTTAGAGTAAAAAACTTATCATTTGATTATTTAATATTTACCAATAATTTAATATGATGTAAAGCTAGTTATAAATTGTTTTCTTCTAACAAACTATGGTGTTTACCTCACTCAAAGTATGAGAATAAGTCAAGGGCAATATCTAATAGAATAATCAACCCTTTAAACTCATTCACTAAATCACAACTTTTGCAATGCCCTACCCACCATTAAATAATATTATCAGGATGTATCAAAAACAGTCATGAAATCTAGGGTTGTGGTAAATTAAACATGGCTCCTACTAGTATAATCTTGACTTTGCTAGTTGATTTTCACAAAAAGATAAAAACACAGTATATAATCAGGCCTGTAGCCGGGGGGGNATTTCAATAGAAGCATGCAGAGAGTGTGCGATAACCTTAAAATTAGATCAAGAGTATGCAACAAGTGTGCAGAAAATGTAATTTTTCTGTCATGAGTGTGCAGAAAATGTGCAAGACACGGTTTTTCAACAGACATGTGCAGAAAGCGTGCAATAAACTTACAATTTCATCAGGAGTGTGCAACAAGTCTACAGGAAACTTAGAAATTTTAAGTTCTCGGGGTTTGCTATTTTAGAGTAAAAACCTTATCATTTGATTATTTAATATGTACCAATTATTTAATATCATGTAAAGCTAGTTATAAATTGTTTTGTTCTTACAAACTATGGTGTTTACCTCACTCAAAGTATGAGAATAAGTCAAGGGCAATAAATGTTTAACAACATCTAATAGAAAAATGCCTAATCAACCCTTTAAACTCATTCACTAAATCACAACTTTTGCAATGCCATGCCCGCCATTAAAAAAGATTGTTATCAGGATGTATCAGAAACAGTCATGAAATCTACGGTTGTGGTAAATTAAACATGGCTTCTACTAGTATAATCTTTACTTTGCTAGTTGATTTTCACGAAAAGATAAAAACACAGCATATAATGGGGGGGGGGGAGGGGGGTTAAAAAAATCTGCCCCTTTTGCTGGGAAAAGGTCCACTCTGGGTAAAATTTGATCTAGGTACATGAAGTTATTATGGAAAAACGTCCACTTTTTCAGAAAAAGAACCCCCCTTTTGAAATGGCTGATAACGGGCCTGATAATGTATTTTTACTGTTTTAATGATGATATTCACTAACTTCATATTTCTTCTATTATATTGAAAGTCAACCTTATTTAATCAGATTTTTATCTTGGTTATAGTCAGATTTTACTTGACCTAGGCTGTTTTAAAAAGTGGAATTTCAATCCTGCCTAATATATATTATGTAATGTAAAAGTAAGTGACCATAAAGGGTATAGTACTATCCCTCATAAATGGTGGGAAACGAGGACAAATTAATATTTTTAAAGATACGTTTTATTATAAATCATGCTCAATTACACTTTAAGCCTAGGGTTTAACAGTCAACTGTAGCTATTGTTACACCAATTACAGTAACCATGGCACCTATTTGGTGTTATCAGATGTGTGGTATCCCGTCTAAGTCTTTGTTTATATGAGACAAGCAGCAAATGAGTAAAGGTTGTATACTATCAAGCCAGTTCAAATTCAGGAGCATAGTGGAAGAGTACAGAGAGTAGAAAAATTGGATTGAGGAAGGTTTGTATTACAGTAATGCATTGGATCATTTGGGCATCTAATCAATTGAAAATGAGAAAACTGATCTAATTTGTAGTGTACATTGTAAACATCATATCTATATTACATTAGATAAGTTATAATTTATAATGTACACTTCCCTTTTAGCCAACAAAGAAACAAGGATACAGAATGCAGTTACTGTTTAGTTTCTTCATTTCTTATAAAACTATGATCAATTGCTCGCAAAAATGTTTCTTCAAATGCAGTTGAATCTAAAAAAAAAGAAAAAAAAAACANGAATCTAAAAAAAAAGAAAAAAAAATTTACATTTCATTTAATTTTTGGTTTGTGGTTTATTAAATATTATCTATATAATTTAATCTGTCCTCACCGTGTTACTTGAACAAATGGATATTTGTTGAATAATTGTTTATTTCAGGTGATCTTAGAGAGTAGACAACATACAGAACCTGGCATGACAAGACTGGAAGGGACACTTTGCTGTGAATATCTATAGTTGGTGGCTCATTGAAACACTCACAAAGTGTACCAAAAAGTCAAGTACCTGTACCTTTGTGATAAAGAAGTTACTAGAGTTTTTCAGCCCACAAGAAATGTCAGTGACAATGTCTTTTGTGAAGGATTCTCTAGTTGAAAGAGCTGTGCAGAGTAAGTTTTAAAATGGAACATCACTAACTGCAAGTTGATTATATCATTCAACAATTCTTTAAATTTTGTTATTATTCTCAAGTATATGTTGAAAATAAGTGAATAAATGAATGCAGCCATAATCCTAAGATTTCAACATCATGTAGATGTGTGAGGAATAAAGTATTCTTCAAAGCAGTTTTAGCATTTTTTTCTTTAAATATCCAATACATTTTTTCTGCCTAGCTTTCTACCTTTTCTTTATATGAACAATAAACACTTCAACTTGATTTTAGGACTTATCAAACAGTTATGTGTATTTTGAAATGTTTTTTGTCCTCAACGTGGATGTTTAAAATTTGGATGTTTAGCATTGAATTTGTAGGACTTTATGGTGTACTCTTTTTTTAGATGGACGGAGCAGGACAGGATGAGTAAAGAAGAGAAATGTGGCAGAAAGATGTAAAGAAGAGATATATGGACATGGCTTGGATTTTGCTAATTTTGTTTGATTTTTTAATTTGATTAACAAAGCACAATATATGACTGTAATTTCTTGTTTGTTGTTGATAAACAGAATTCCAAAGGATAATTTTAACTTTTCTAACGTGCTTAATAAAATTTTAAGATGTTGGCACATGTCTTCAAATGTAACTCAAAACCTGATGTGGCATGTCTTCAAATGTAACTCAAAACCTGTCTTTGTAGATTTAATATCAAGTGATTGAAAAACAAGCGAGTGAAATTTAAATTGTTATAAAATATTTAAATTAGTGTGCAGGAAATGTGCAAAAAGGTATGCAAAAAGTGCGCAGGAGGTGTGCAAGAAGTACGCAGGAGGTGTGCAAGAAGTGCGCAGTATATGTGCAAAAAGTACGCAGAAGGTGTGCAAGAAGTACGCAGGAGGTGTGCAAAAAGTACGCAGAAGGTGTGCAAGAAGTACGCAGGAGGTATGCAAGAAGTGTGCTGGTTGTGGTGTTGGGGATGTGCAGGAACTGCATGTGCAGGAGATGTGCAAGGAGTGTGCGGGAAATGCGTATTTTACCATGCAAATGGGGCGTGCTGCGCATGCGCAGAAACCCTTACTGTGAATGTGCTGCGCATACGCAGAAACAGTGTGCAGGAAGCTTAAAAATTTGCTAAGGGAATAGCTATAACTGCAGTTTTTCTTGTACAACAGTACATGTATATATATTATATATTTCTGTGAGTTGTTCACAATGTTTTTATTGTGAACTATAGATCTCATACAAAGAGTTATTATCCCTTTAAGGTCAATTTAACAGGAATTCATTTAACACACTTTAAAAATGTACCCACACAATAAGCAGACTCTCTTGCACAATCACAGAGTTAATTCACTGTTATCTAATTTTTATTGCATGTATATCTTTGAATATGTGATATCCTTATTGTGTCAGTTCGATGGAATTGGGGCAGTATTGTTTCATTTGAAATTTGCTAACAGCAGAGTAATAGACTGTAGAGACAGGCATACCTGGAAGAAAAGATGTCCCACACAAGCCTATCATATACTTACTAGTTATATTATTTATTGTGTTGCAAGCTAGGAACCAGTCTGAAAAAGAAATGATAATACCATTACCAATATAATATATGAAAATTTATTTTCAGATAATCTGACAGCTGGAGGTGTTTGGTAAGGGGACTGTCCTAGGAGGCTGGGTCACCCACTGTGGTGTCAACCTTGCAATACACAATGATTTGGGTGTCCCTTCTCTGAGGGCAGAGGTGCTGCTGCCCACAGCTTCCACCATAGAGTGAAAATTTGAAAAGCCACAAATAGTATAATCTGAAAAAGAAAATGAATATATTTAGGTATTTTCACATACCTTTATCCATTCCTCACAGAGTACACCTTCCTGCTCTCCAGCCAGATATTCTCCTGCCCAAGAATTCCACCTATGATAAAGGCATGAAAATGTGGTAGATTGTATTCAATCCTAAGAGATATATGGGTAATCAAGGATTACATTACATTCCATATTTTATTTTGAACAGCCAAGGCCACAGTAAGAGTAATCATGAGAAACAACATTTTGAAGGCTGAAGTGGTGGGCAGCGAGGTGTGAACCTGTTAAGGTTCACCAGTATGGGTGTCCCATCTCTCAGGACAGATATTTTATTTTTTATTTTTAACAACCAGGGCCACTGTCAGAGTAATCTTGACAAATAACTTTTTAAAGGCTACAGTGGTGGGCAGGGGAACTGC